CCTGTTATCCAGTCTAACAGTGCTTTCCAGAGGATTTGACACACTGAGGTTATTGTGTGCGAAAGATAATTCTCATCTCCACTCACTCTAATGCAAACTACCATTCCCCCAAGATGCCGCCAAACACACCGGCACTAACAGCTTCTGACACACTATCGCACAAGTTTTAAGAGACAAGGATTTGGCGCTTCATTTTCAGAAAGGTGATTTACTCGAGATTAGCCATGCAAAATGATATTATAATAGGGTGGAGCTTTGATCTGACAAAGACCCACAAACTGCTCTGTGAAATTGCTTCGTCACTTGGTGTTGAACTGTTGTTTTGCAGAATAAAAAGGTGTTTTACTCTGAGGTTGGAGTCACTGTGGTGAATAAAGCTTGTGAACACAGGCCAAATGGAGCTTGTCTCTTAGGAACCCCTGGCCTCTACCTCTTTTCTGTCGACATGTATCAAATCAAACCTTGCCAAGAGCAAAGGCTCGACCCTGACTGATCTCTCTCATCCCCCCCCCCCCTCTCCATTTTCCCTTTTCATCTCTGAGACTTTCTGTGTTTCTCTGACTTTGTGTGTCATTAACTGTTTCTTTCTGCCTCATTAACCAACAACATATAGGAACAGATATAATATCACAGCTGATTATGAAAGTAAACTAAGGATATATTGCACTAATATTGATACATTTGACTTGATTTCACACATAATAAAATATATCTAGCTTAACAGAGACATGTTACCAATTGATATTGAATTAATGGATGCATGATAAGACAATCCCACTGAGAATAAAAAGCCCGCTCTGCAGCTCCTGAATGTATCTCATTAGTTAAGAAAACCAAAGCAATGCTTTTTGCTCCCAAGTCAGCGTCCTCTTGCCTCTCCATTGACACCCTTGATGTCTGTTGAGTTTGTCGATATATATACAAATATCTGGGCTTTTGGTTGGACAGAAATCTAAACTTTAAACACCACATTGAAGTTCTAACTAAGAAATTGAAATTCACTCTTGGCTTCCTTTACAGACTTAAACGTTGTTTTTCAACTTCTTCCCATAAAAGGTTGGTCTCCTGTCCCAGCTTGACTATGGTGATACAATCTATAGATTTGTCTGTCCCACTGTTTTGGCCAAACTTGACCCACTGTACCATGCTGCACTGCTGATATATATCAAATGCACCCTATAGGACTCATCATTGCACACTGTATAGCCTGGATGGTCCTCACTTAGTATGCGTAGGATGCAGCATTGGTTTTTATTAATGTATAAAGCCATTTTAGGTAAGCTTCCACTGTATATATGTGCCAGATTTGCTCCAGTTTGTGACTCTTACAACCTCAGATCCAGTGCCTGGATACGGTTCCAGGTACCTGCCGTGCAGACTGAGGCTGGAAGTCTTTCTTATTATGGTCCTTGGTCTTGGAATGACCTTCAATCACGCCTCAAACTGACGGCACTTGTCCCTATAGCCTGTTTTAAATTGAAGTTGTCTGAGGTCCTTACCACCAGCTGCTCTTGCAGTAATAAGTACCTTACTTACTGTCCCAAATGTGCACAATGTAGTGACTGCTTTTCATCTTTTTGTTTACTTAGTTGTGTTCTCTGTATTTTATATGTCTGTGTTATGTGTAAGAATGTGTAACGTTGCTGCCTTCTTGTCCAGGTCAGCATTGTAAATGAGATTTTTGTCTCAATGTTTTCACCTGGTTAAATAAAGAAATAAAAAATAGTTTTGTTTACTATAAAATCACAACAATGCTGTTTTTTTATTGGCCAAAAACACAAAGAGACAAATTGACAGTGTCTGATGAAACTAAATATCCAGAAACTTTAAGAAAAGCTGGATGACAAACAAGATGTTTGGATGTAATGTGTATAAGGGATGGACGGGATGGACGGGAGGAGGAGTACAGAGCGCTGGTGGGTGATTTTGTTGAGTGGACTGGAAGAAATCATCTGCTTCTGAATGTGGCCAAGACCAGAGAGATGGTCATTGATTTCAGGAGGAAGAGGACATCTCCTCCTCTGCCCCTGTGCATTCTAGGAGAGGATGTGGCAGTTGTGGAGGTCTACAAGTACCTGGGAGTGCACTTAGACAATGGGCTGAACTGGAGGATCAACACTGACGCTGTGTACAAGAAGGGGATGAGCCGACTCTATTTTCTGAGGAAGCTGAGATCCTTCAACGTATGCAGTAAGATGCTGAAGATCTTCTATCAGTCTGTGGTGGCTAGTGCACTCTTCTTTGCTGCGGTCTGCTGGGGGGGCAGCATCAGAGCCGGTGACACCAGCAGGATCAATAAACTGATCAGGAAAGCTGGGTCAGTCATCGGCATCAAGCTGGACCCCTTTGAAGCTGTGGTGGAGAGGAGGACACTGAACAGGCTGTTGTCCATCATGGATAACCCCACCCATCCTCTCCACCTGCAGCTGGACAGTCAACGGAGCTCCTTCTCCAACAGACTGCTGCAGCTCCCCTGTCACAAGGACAGATACTGGAAAACATTCCTGCCCACTGCAATAACACTGTACAACAAATCACCTCTGGCTGGAAGAGAACTCTCTGCTCCATAGTTTCTCTTGGAATAAAACCACGTTGTACATTTTACTCTATAATCTGTTCAATATTTATACTCCATATTCCATATATTTTGAATATATATATATATTTGTATATATATATATAATATCTGCATGTATATTTTCTATTTCGACATGTATATTTTATATTTTATTTTTATTTCTATTCTTGTATATTTTGTAGTTTTGTTTTATTTTAACATGCCTTTTATGCTGCTGTAACAACAACAATTTCCCAATTTGGGATCAATAAAGTACTATCTATCTATCTATCTATCTATCTATCTATCTATCTATCTATCTATCTATCTATCTATCTATCTATAGAGACTTGTCTGCTGGACATAAGAACATGATAAAGGCCAGTTTAGGAGTCTTTCAAACACTTAATACTCAAATGGCTTAAGAAGTTTTCTGGTTTTTGAAGAAAACTGACCCAAGAAATTCCTGTGTCCAAACTACCTATTGGCTTTATAAGACAGTTAATAATAATGTTAACTGCAAGACTGTCAAATCCACAATAATCTCTCTCAAGATCTCTTTTGCCTAGGTGTATCTGATTTTCATCAAATCTGCCAACAAAGCACTGATGATGCCAGTCAAAACTACACATGGGAATGATGGTCCATAATCTCTTTTTGTTTTTTCTCTTTCATCAGCCTATCTTTATCTGATTGTCTGTGTCTGAGACCTCTGGGAAATAACACTGGGAGAGATTATCACACGCAGGATTTAAACCATGTTATTCTGATGCTGAATAACTCAAGTAGGTATTCAAATGAAAATGCCAAACAAATTTGAATTTATTTTTGCTGTGAATGTGCAAGTAATTACATTATTCAATTAGCCTGTGTGTTTTGCCTGCCATCTTCTCTACGAAGCACAAATTCATTACATTTTCTACCTCTCTTTCTATTAATCTCCTTTTTATTTGTCTCTTCTTGGCAAGCTAATGGCTTTAAAATACGAAATAATTAATAACATATTACCTCTAATATTTTAATCAAATAGGGGAACAATTGAATGATTTCCACGGCAAAAATGATTAAATTCAAATGAAAAAGAATATATTTTCAGTTTGAGCAAGTGATTCAGTAAGACTTTAAAAAAGCCACCTGAAAGAGGAAGTTGCTCTAGGAATATAATACTGTATTATAGTTTTAATTTAAAATAAATACTTTTAAATAAACCCAGATATCTGTAAGTTTGCATTTAATGGAATGGCAATCCTAGGGACGACATGTGAAGGTCCTTTTCAACCTTTTAAAGGAAGAAATAAACAAATTATGCACCTGTAAGGATTTCTCCACCTCATTTGATATTCAACTGACTTGCCGACACATCTGCAGGTGCATTGTAGAACAAAACAAACAAACAAACATAAGCAAAGACCCTTCAGATCAGACTGATAAGTCTCTTTTTGTGAAGGCTTCATTATCCTGTAATCTGCTGCTGTGTGCCTGAGAGACCTTCACATTATGGGCGTGTTGAGCTTTGCCGGCGGCATTCCCTGTCGTTCTTACAGCAGACAAAAACCCAGAGAGGCTCCACGAGGGTATCAGGGTTGCTATAGAAACCACTGAGCCCACCAGGAAAACGAGATAATCGGAGATACCAGCAACGGAGAGAGGTGATGTCACATGTGCACATACTGTATGTGAACACACACACATTTTTAGACAAAGAAAGGAACGCAATACAAAAGTTTCCTAATGTGGGAGGTTGAGATCTCTGATGCTATCAGTCAGTTAGCCTGAATGAGGCTGACTCTTGACTACAGCTTGCTTTTTACAGCCCAAAGCAAGCCGCTGATTTGATCTCAGTTGCTTTCAATGTCTCTCACATTCTGTTCACACTTTTCCTCTAAGCACACATATTGATATTTCTGTTATCCCCCTAACATACCCCCTGATGTCTTTACTTATTAGCTTCTACAACAAGCACAACTTGGTCTTCTTTAAGATGAGTTTGCTCAAAAAGAAACTGCACAGCCATCCTATTTCCAAGATTATGTTAATGTTGACAGCTGCAGGTTAATTGTAGACACCATGAGCACATGTACAGCCTCATTCAAAATTACAGCTCATTATAGAGAGTTGATCCTAGTCAGGTGAGTCATCATGCTTTATTACAATGAGGTGACTACAGGCTGACATTAGTATTGAATCATGACTAATTGGTGGAACTGGCCACAGGGTTCACCCTTGTGTTACATCACTGTAACGCAAGCTTGACATGCATACTCTAAATGAGAACAATGTGACAGAAAGAGGAGAAGTAAAAAGGCTATGAGAGAATGAAATTAGAGATTATATCTGAGAAACAGTGCAGGTGGCCATATTCATGATAGTGAAAAGATAAAAAATGCCAGTGATTGATGCAAATATTGGATATAATCTGTGTGGAAGTTTTTCCACTACTCACCAATCAGCTCCTTGTTCCTGATGTCCAGGGCCATGTTTCTGAGAGCGGTGGCCACGGCACACACCACCTTGTCGTTGTCTATCCTCAGCAGCTCCACCAGGATGGGGAGGCCTTTGTCCTTGCGCACAGCAGCCCGGATGTACACCGACCACTGAGGGGGGAAATCAGTGGAAAGATGGTTAAATGCATGAAAAGATAAGAGAGGGAAAGGCATCAAACAATATTTAAACCATCATCGTTACTTGCTTATGACACTTGTTAGATTCCCCTTGTTAGGAACTCACTGTGTCCATGCCTGTGCATTGTGTATCTGGTTATTTTCAATCCAGACATTTTCATTCTTTAAAGTGGACCTATCATGTTATATTTGAACAATATATTGTAGGGCCATACCTATATAAAACATGTCTGTTTAGTTTTTTTTTTCAAAATACCAAACAGATCATGCATTTTAGCCATGCCTCATTTCGCTCTATTTGCTCTTTTCCAGCCCTGTTTTTGCAAGGGCTGATTCTGTGACGTAGCTTTAATGCAAATGAGCTGCAGCTGACCACGCCCCCCTGCAGGAGAGGGGAGCGTGCTTTGAGATCAGCTGCTGGGCTGTCAGAAGAGGGGGAGAAAAAGAGATCTCCGTCCTCCGTGTTTTATTCTTATATGATTATATAGAATCATTATTCATTTGTTTTAAAGCTCAATAAATAACAAAGAAGACCTTTCACCGGCACTTTTCTAATTTTGTCCGGAAGATTTAAACTTTAACGGACATCTTGACCGGCGAAAAAAAATCTAACTGAAACTCTGCCGCACGGTCCCCTCGTTCCTTGGAAGAGGCGGAGAGGTGGGTGTTTGTCATCTGCTGGTGGACTAACCGGAGAGAATTACAGTGCTTGCCTCGACGGGGAGGGATTGCATTGAATTAAAGCAGCAGGAGCAAACGCTTGCCTCGGGGAGGGAGAAAAAGAGCCACAGCGGAGAATAAACAGAAGGGCAACCATGGCAACCATGCGCGGGAAGTCTTCTTCGCTGCTTTTGTGGCAGACTACAGCGCCACTTACAGGCCTGGCATATGTACTACAGCGTCTCCAGCGCTTTCGAGCAGCAGTGGCCGGCCGTGGCCCAACCCCACATTCCCCTGATAGGTGGAGAGTTGTCCATATAGGCGGAGCTCCTCGTTCCTGACGTCAGAGAATTTTAAAATCTGTATCAGTCTGTATCAGATCCGTTGCAGCCCCATTTTGAGAGATTTGGGTATGGAGGAAAAGAGAGAGGGTTGTGTTTTCTGACACTTGGTGAGTTCCCTGACACACCGGGGACACATATTCATGTATAAAAGACGTACAAAAGTGCATTTTGCATGATAGGTCCCCTTTAACTGTTTTATTTTCATCATGCTGACTATTTTCTTTCATCCTGACAGACCAGCAGATTGTGTATCAAGTGGTTGCCGTCGAGAGAAAGGGGAAAAGAGACGGATGAAGCACAATGGGCGAGGTCGAGTGGGAGATGTTATATTCAGGGTCATTATGAGAGAGGCTGAGGCATTACACAGGTTAGTAAGTGATATACTGTAAGAGGGAGAATTGTGTGAACCAGAGAGAAGAGATCTGAGCTATGAGACCACTCTATCCTCCCTCAATTACTATCAAGGTACATTTCAATTGAGTACTCGTACCTTAAAGGCTCAAGTGCTGCGCCTTGTGGGTGAACTGTGGAGGAATGGGGATGTGCTAAATTTGGATAGACCTGGATATCTATCTATATAATCTACCTTAATAATCATGCTTTTTACTGTCGTGTCTATTTTGGTCTCTTTATTGAATTTCCCTTTGGTGAGAATAAAGTCCATCTATCTATCAATCTAGAGTAGTGACGTGTAAAGCTTACAGATTCAGGGTGTGTTAAGGGTTAAACAATGCTTTTCTTACAGCTTTAAATGGGCAAACTATGCTTCATATAAGCATTTTAGAAAAAAAAGACCTTTGACGAAAATACTCCTAATCTATTAGCCAAAAGCTTAGTAAACAGATAAGTAAACTCTCAAAGTCAGGAGTACACTCCACATAGCACGCACACACACACACACACACACACACACACACACACACACACACACACACACACACACACACACACACACACACACACACACACACACACACACACACACACACACACACACACACACACACACACACACACACACACACACACACACACACACACACACACACACACACACACACACACACACACACACACACACACACACTGAAGGCCACCTGCCCCCATCATTTCCTCCTTCTCCCTCGTCTTCCCGTAGCCTCCTCTTTCATTTTCCTCCTTCTTTGTCAATTCCACTACTAATGGAAACACTCACAAAATCAAATACAAACATATCCCACACACATTAACAGCACCACAGAGACATCCCACAGTGTGCTTCCACAGTCAAAGTTATCACGTACACCAACACAACCACAACCTTTTGACCCAATAAACACGTCCATCAACGTTCCCACACAGCCTATTTACAACCAACAATGTCTGATGCACTTTCCCAAGGTCATGCCAAGATGAAGCCATGACACTTTCTGCTTTTTACCCTATATACACCTCCCTCAAGGCTAGAGCTACCAATACTCTCCAATATGACCGCCTGACTCATTCATTATTACCATCTAGCTGTTTCCATCACTCAGCTGCTGTTGAACCCTGGCTCTACTCCCCTGTGTGTTCAGGCTTTGAGCCTTTACATTATTACAGCAATTGCATTGCTGCTGAACAATATGATATACTATGGAACACATAAAATCATGGGATTGTGCTTGAAATATTTCAAAGTCAGCTGGATGGTGGAGTGAACAAATAGAACATTATTCTGTTTGATTCGGTCATTGAGCTGTTTTTCTTCTGCATACTGTATACTGCGACTGAATCAGCCTCTGAATGTGAATTAAAACTCAAATGAACCGAATGATCAGGGTTGAAAATGTTCGTGTCTGCACACACACTCAATCTGCCTTATTGTCACCATGATTTCAGGTATTTCACACATGCATTACAGTGTCGTTTGATTACCTGTTCGAAGGACCTTATGTTGAATCATATTTCCTATGATTTCACCACTAGTATCCAACGATGTGTGACAAAGAAGTAAAAAAGAAAAGAAAAGATAAGACAGAAAGGTTGGGACATTTTGTAGTAATCCTTTACCTTCCAGCTGCCTGCGGCCAGGTTCTGCAGAGCACCGGCTGCTCCCTCCAGGGTGTCAGGGTTTGAGCATTCAGACAGCAGGGTGAGGTAGGGCTTGACGATGGTGGGGTGCCACAGCATCTGAACTCCTTTGGGGGGCTCCGCTGTGTCCGGAAAGGGGCCCACGCCATCCCACTGGGAAAGAGCACACAGAATGAACGGGTTTTAGTGTTTTAAAGCTAACCTCTATCAATGGAACATTATTTCCAGCAATGGCCATTTAAAGTGTTTCAACTCTGACCACACCAAGCAGAAGCTGGGATTCCAAACCAATACAGCAGAATTCACAAAAGAAAGATAGTTGTGGATGAGTATTCTCATGTGTCTAAGTGCATGCATTACTACATCTCCACTCAGTACACCCTGACCTCTTCAAAAGTCAAAGAGACACTGAGTAAATCGCTCCCTGTCACCCTGCTATTTAGAAGAGAAAGGAGATGAAGAAAGAGGTGGGAAAGGGCAAACATTAGAAGGAGATGCATGTGAAAACAGAAAATACATGAGAATGATTCACTCCTACATTACGCTTTGAGAAATCAACCTAAAGCTCCCACTCCCCTCTTCCCCTTCACATCCATCCTCCTCCTCCTCTGCTCCACTAGAATGGAGTCCCTTGATGTTTGATCCTCATGGTTGAGTGACATGCCCACACCTCTCAGCTAACTCTCCTTCTCTCTCTCCTCTTTCATTTCTATTTATCTCCGCTCTTTTCTCTCCAGCTTGTCATTAATATCTTGTCCCCCTTTTTTTCTCCCGTTGATGCCTTTTCTCCAACTCTCCATTGACTTCTTTCTTGCTTGCCTCGCTCACTCCCTAATTTCTTATTCTATTTCCATCCTTCTCTCTCCAGTTCTCAGTTTTTCCTCTCCCTATCGACCTTCTCTGTTTCGCTCTGCTGCCTCCCCCCCTCCGCTGTCTCAAGTTACACTATGCTAGTGTGTGTCTTCGGAGAGGTGTTGTGGAGTGTGTGAGGCTGTGCGTGTGTGTGCATGTTTTCATCTATACATAGATTCTCTGAACATAAAATCAAAGGCATATTATAAGCTGAAGTGTGTAGAGGCACTATAATAAGAGACAACTCGTTCACATTGGAGTACTCTCTGTTGCCTGAAGACATCCTACACACCAAATATGAATGTATAATGTTAAATTGCGTATCTACAATTCTCTAAAGATTAAGCATAGCAAACTTTTTTTGATGTATTTTTTCATTAGTGTGGGCAGAACTCAAATCAGATAAAAAGGCAAATTCCATACCGTCTTTCTAAATAATACTTTTTTTCCCTCTTAGAATATTCCAGATAGTGAAAATGTGTGTGTGTGTGTGTGTGTGTGTGTTCCAGTATCCATTAGGAGTGTTTAGGTGCAGCTCCCATGCTGCTCTTGGCTTTGGTATCTGAATCTCTAATAAATGATTAAGTAGGCTACATTAGCGTATAACTGCCCGAGTCTCTTTCTCTCTTTCAGTCCCTCTATCCATCTCTCTTTGCGTCATCCTTTACGAGCACACATCGTACCACAAGTCTTTCTCTCTGTCCTAGTCTCTTGGCTCCTACCCTTTTCTTACTGGCATGCTGCTCTTTCTGTATTACTGTCTATTCCTAAATGGATGCAAAAATGAATTTATAAACCGTACATGCAAACACAGACAAAGAGTTCTATCATCTGACCTGATTAAGCTCTGTATTCGCCGTTATTTTGAGTAAAGCTGGAGCTCAGGTGGGATTCAGGTTTGGTTATTTTTTAAACGTTATTTATAAATAATGAATCTCTTCCTGTCTCTTCTCTCTCTGTCTGTGTACATGGTGTGTGTCCATGTGTGTCATGTGTTTTAAAGGGGACCTATTATGCAAAATCCACTTGTTCATGTATTTTCTACATCAACACGTGTCCCCTCTTCTTCATGTCTCTTCTACATCAACACGTGTCCCCTCTTCTTCATGTCTCTTCTACATCAACACGTGTCCCCTCTGTGTAAAGAGATTCTGAAAGTTTCAGGAAAAAAGATTCTCTCACTTTTTGTCCTGATCCATTTATATAAAAACCTGTCTGAAAATGAGCTGATCAAATTTTGGCCACTTAATGATGTCATAACGATTTGTTTGCTCGTGTAATCATTAGCCAATCACCAACCAAGGTAACCCCCCCCCCACCTTATCACCTGAATCTCCTCCTAGAGCACCATTGTGTTCTTTTTAACCAAATATCTCTCAGAGGGGCGTGGGGAGTGGCTCCTTATTTTCATCTAAAGTAACAGACAGAGAATCAGCACTTTTGAAACAGGGCTGAAACAGAGGGGATTATGGGTAATGCTGCAATGATCTGTTTGGTATTTGGAGCCAAACACTTCAGAGACATGTTTTGCATATATCTGAGACCTATAATATATTGATGAAAAACAGTATAATAGGGGACCTTTAATAAGATACCAAAAAGCCTATTGGGAAGAGGGAAAAAGACACAGCGTCTCAAATATCAGTCCGTTGGGTGTTAAAGGTCCCATGTCATGCTTTTCCGGTTATTACCCGTCCCCTGTGTTATGAAGGTTTTTCTGCATGTAAACGGTGTGCAGAGTCACAAACCCTCAAAGTACACCCTGTAGCGAGTAAAACTCTAACACAGAAAATACCTCCCCAAAACGCCTCGTTGGAGATACGTCATTGTCCATTTGATTCTTCCATTTCGTTCCGGGTACGGCATGATGTCAAGCCGTACCCGGAACGAAATGGACCAATCCGTGGAGCCGTTACGTTACGTCCGCGGAGCCGTTACGTTAAGCCCCCGCTGATTGGTCCAAATTGACCAATCCACGGACTTCCTCACACCCACATCTGTGTGCAGGGAGCAGGCAGCTCAGCTGATTTCTCCTCCCTGTGCAGGCTGATAACAGACAGTTGGGATCGCGGTGAAATTCTCTCTGCAGACCCATTCTCTCTGCAGACCCATTCTCACAGCGTTTATCAACCTTTTTCTTACTCAATATCAAGCCACACTTATTGTTTTTACTTCGGCTGTGACTTTGTGTGTGCTCAGGATGAGTTTGGCTATGTATCGCTAACAAGGAAACAACACCTCCACGGAGCTCAGCGCGATTCACAACGTCCCGACCAATCAGAGCACACTGTGCTCACAGGGAGGGTGGGGGCTGGAGCTATTGGAGCTACAACGAGCCGTTAAAGGCAAAGAGTGAAATTCAGTGAATACACGTAGTTTACAGAGATGCTGTATGAGAAACCAATGTGAGTTTGGAAAATTGCACAATATAAATCTATTCTAGTCGACCTCAACAATGGAAATATGATCAGTGGAAATGGCCATGACATGGGCCCTTTAATGACTCGACTACACTCTGTATTTTTGTCTTGGTTTCTGGACGGTGGATAATGCACACTCACAGCCTAAGAAGTCTGCAGGGGATTGATTGCAGGAGAAAACCTGAGGTCTGCTCCCTGGAGAGAAGTCCAACTTTATATCAAAAATAAAAGACTTGAAAGCAAGGGAGAGGGAAGGTAAAAATAAACTGAGATTGAAGAAGCTTTTTATGAGAAAAATGGAGTTAAAAAGTTTCAAACACATTTTAAACTACAGTACAATTGGCATACAAGCCAAAGCTTTTCAACTCAGCTTGCAAAAAAGTGAGTGATCTGTGATTTTTATCTTTGTTTCCATCATTTAGACATGTCCCTGTTGAAGGCACAGCTGCTTCCTCCACGGCGTTCCTGATTCATCATGAAAGTGGTCTTCTTTTTGCACCCATGTGTATAAATACAGATGGGGGTACAAATGAAAGTAAAAACCAGGATAAACAAGTGGAGACACATAATGAATGCGGATGCTTCCATACAATGCACAAGGGGCTCCCTGAATACTTTTAGTACGAAATGTATTTGAATCATATTCTATAGGCTTTGCAATAACATCATCCCAACGCAATTCACCGCCTATGGGAGCGTTGGGATAGATTTTCCACCACCCTCATCAAAACACCAAAGGAGAAGAGTACTGTTACCCCAGTAGAGTACCACACACCTCTGGAATCTGTGCCAAGAAACCTCAAAGCTTTTCGAGTCGTCCAACACCAAAACCTTTTGCCTTTATTGGAATGATTGAAGATGCATATATTTTATTCTTAGTGTCGATGACATCCATTTAGATCTCCATTATTTTATTATGTTCTTACCTGATCAGATCCCTTCTTTTTCTTCTTCTTCTTGCCCCAGCAGCCAGAGCTCTCTCCGTCGCGGCCGTTGGCGTCACAGAGCAGGCCGTCCAGCTCCTCCAACCCCACCTGCTGGCCGTGAGACGTCTCCGCAGCCAGACGGTACGACAGGTTCCTCAGGATGCACACACAGTTCTCCACAGTCTGGAGATAAAGAGAGTCAGGAGAGATGAAGCCAGGCAGGAGGGGGAGGAGGAAAAGGAAATGAAAATTAAATAGAAATACATTTAGGGTTTGAGATTTGTGTTTGATGCTATTTAATGAAACATCTCGCTTGAAAACACAAAGTCAAAGCGTGCTGATAAAAAAACGCCCACTCTCACACTTTTATTTTATTGGCCTTCCACCCCCACCCACTAGCCAGACAGATGGAGCAAGTGAGAGACGGAAAAGAAAAAGAGCCATTGTCTTACGGGAAATGTGCTTCTGTGTTTTGTTAGCTTTGACTTTGAAATGAGATTAGATGAAACCCAGGTAAATGAGGAAAAATAACAAGACCAATATATTGTCACGCCCTATTAAACAGTAAGTTTAGTTGCGAACCCACCAGTGTGTGTGCACATGAGAAAAAATAAATCCTTACAGTGTATGGTGTCTATGCTTAAGTGTGTACTTTCTCAGAGTGTGTGTACTGCCTTGCGTATGTTTAGTATCACTGACAAAAGGGGAGTCACAGAGTCAACAGAGTGGAAATTAACAAAGACAAATCATCAATCTTCTCTCTGTCTGACCGTCGGTACACACAAAAACAACTAAGGAGTATAATTGAACAGCCTCAAGAGACGCACCAAACAAAACAATGTCTCACTCCAGCGAGCTGCAGTCATGTCTGAAATACTATTCACATGCTATTATAGAAGGGTGTAGGAGAAGTAATATCATCTATTTACAATTTACTTTGACATTTCATGTTTCGATTTGGTATTTCACATTTATTCGCTACGCTCTGTTCTTTCACCTTACACGGTTTAGAGGCTAAAAGACTGTTGATTTCTGTTTTAAAATGAATATGTGGCATTTATTTTCTGTCAGTGGTCGAGGTCAGTTACTGAACATCAGCCCGAAAATAGAAATTCCACTCACATTGATTGCGTAAGAATCTACAATATTAAACTCATAAAAGACCAAATGTATTTCTGTTTATGAAAGGATTTGTCCTTCTGACCTTGTGCTTCCTTCCCCACTGAGCTTTTATAATGTCTGTGTCCATAACATGCATCTGGGGCACTTTACGACATACATTAATGGTCTTGCAGCATACTTCTTCCTGCAGTAGTAAAACATATCTAATGTTAAAAATCGACATCATATAATCTATAATATGTCAGCATCATATTGGTTTTGTACGTAGATTGATGTGCTTAGTATAATAGGTCTTGCACCATCGTTTCAAATGACTGTATCCGTTAAGTTAATTGTCTCTTAGCTGTGTGTCAGTACATACTGTGAAACCAATTTAAGTCTTTCTCACATCTGTCTAATTCCTTAAAGCATAATAGTAGTAATCTGTAGATTGTGTGTAATGGCACAATCAACCATAAAACATAATTGTCACATTACATGTAGTGTATATTCCTCTGATCTTGCACATTTATGTCTGGATCTGTGAACATGAAAGGAAAAGAGGAAAGAGCCGAGACCGTCTCGATGATCAAAATGTGAAACGTGGAGAATCCTGAGAGTGCTGGTGAAGGGATTTTATGTGAAGCACTAACTGAGACCAAACTCATTATATAATAATATGGGCACATAAACTGGCAGACAATCAGGTATAATGTAACTTGTAAGCCAAACTTGCATTAACATCCTCATCTGGTGCTTTTCAGCAATATCTGCTTCGACCAATGTCAGAAATAAAAAAGATTTTTGTATCTGCACAAAGTATTGGTAAAGTGGAGCTGGTGGTTATCAATCATATGCCTTTGACTTCTAAGGCTCTATTTGTCTGTTAATTAAAGCCAGTACAAAATGAACACACGGCTAATGTGCAGAACGGTTTCAGCAGTGACCACGTATTGGTTCACCTGCCAATCAGCCTTTGTTACCGTGGCGACAGCAGTACTCCTCTGGTGACTGCAGTCAGATGGTGAAGAGGGGCTGGCGGTTAAGCAGTGATTAAGGATGGCCATTTAGAGAGGCTGGGAGACGGGGAGACCTTGAGGAGTCAGCCATCCATAACACTGTGTACATAGTATTGACTGGCCCCCACACTGCGTCACCAACACACACATATACACTCCATGCCAACATCCTCACAAGGAAAATCACAACGGCAACATAAACCCGCTCAACTTTGCATACTGGCGGCCGAGCTAATTTGGCCAAGAAGTGCTGCAACACTTTGATTTGAGAGGTTTCATTTTCCATAAATAAAACATGTTGATGAAGTAGAGTTGAAAACTAAAACTCCTCTCCCTTGGGGCTGCTGCCAATGAAAGGAAGTGCAGTCAGGGTTGTTCTCACCTACTGTGAAGCAAGATAAATGTGTGTCTACAAGTGAGAGAAGGGAACAATGTTCTCTCTTGCAGCAAAACCTCAGGATTTATGTGAAAATACATATTTACTTTATAACAGTCTTTTATTACAGTGCAGAATGGGTCGAGGTGGAACGACAGATAAGAGAATGGATGAATTTATGCAGTCACTGTCAAGTACGTCATAAAAACACAAGCCAAATGTCCAGGAAAACACACACACACACACACACCTTGCTGTCGATCTCGCTGCTGCCCAGAGACGTCTGGATGACGTAGAGCAGAGCATCTGTCAGCCCGTCACACTCCCTCATCCTTCGTCTCGCCTCTTCACCTGCGGAGCTTACATTCCTGCAACACACACACACACAGAAACACTGGTCAGAATATGCATGTATTGTGTTTGCCAAACAGAAAGAGAAAAAACAAATGGGCAAAGCTAAGAGAGTTGGTGAGGAGTTAAGATAAGACGGGAAGACAGATGAACGACAAACAGAAAGCTGGTAACGAGAAGTGTAGAAAGACAAAGGCAGAGAAAGAGAGAGCAAACCGGGGAACACTGGCAGCTCTCCCTAAACTAAACAATTCAAACTGGAACATTGAAATTCTGGATACATCTCAATCTATGCCCCTGAAGGCTCGCTTCAATTTAAAGCACTTGACTAGAGTCCAAAAAAACAGCAGCTTTAGTCAGACGGTTGGATCCTGAACTTCACAGCCGACACAAACACCAATGCTGCTTTGATCATTTCACAATATTGTACCGTTTATTATTAGGACATTTGCCAGTATAATGCACTTTTAATGCAGAATTGTAATTGAACTGAAGGTACAGGTGGGTGGCGCTGGGTTTTGTTTGGGTTTCAACGTGGAGCTGAGGCTCACTCAGTCCAAGACATTGACTCATTTTCCTGTGTCAATATAATAAATATGAAACCGAGGTGTGTGGCACGAGAGATTTAATATTGGATTTAATTTCCTTAACAAAATAAAAAATAGACACAGCTAGATTTGTATGTAACTTAAAAAATAACATGATTTATTATCCGTTGACCAGAGCATAAGAATGCTTACACATTTGTATGATTAATGTAAATTCATTAGGAATTACTTACACATTAACATATGCTAAAACTAGTTACGATGGTCGATACTATCAAATATGCATGTATAAAAAGGAAATACATTTTCAACCTGAATACATGCGTGTAAAGGAGACAAGCCAGAGAAAGGGGAGAAGAGATCATTTTTAAAAACGAATTTGTATTTGTGCTAAATATATAATACGACAGGTTTGTACTCCAAACACAGGAAACTTCACACACAGGTTTTTGTCTTAGAAGTTCCTCAAGTTCATTTTCAAAGACATCTTTATAAACTCCCTCAATCGCTGCTCAAAAATAGGCATCACTGAAACACAGAGGCAAGAAATATTTCTGTGTGAGAATAGAGCGTGTATCATGCTGTAGACAGACTTTAGGGAAATCAATATAAGAGCCATAACGGCACAGTCTGTGTGTCTTTATATACTCACAACCACTCACCATATTTCCTCAGCAAAGTCGCAATGTGCAACATCAATTCTTGTCAATTCTGTTCTAAGTCACAATGGAAGAGAGGCGTCCTCTAAAATGTTTATGACACAGTATTGTCACCATTAGTGTATTGATGGCTGTAGAATGGGAACACGTTGCTCAGGTGAGGCAGGTGCACTTAAGTGGATGAGGTTATTACACGGTACATCCTCTGGGGGCCAGAATGGAGGGCTACAATTGTTGCAGAGATCACGAAAAGACAACTATTGGCTGCCTCAGTATTCATTTATTTTCTGCTTTTAACGGAATACAAGACATGTATTACTCAGGACCCGTTTTCATGATGTCTACTTGTTAAACTACACTATTGATCCATACGTTTGTAGCCTAACTTCCTTAATTTGAATTGCACAGGGGCTAATATTTTGTGGCTAACTGTACTTGAACTTATCTTTATTTTCATACAGTCGTGTAGCTCATAGTGCTACAATGAATATCATTTTGCGAGACAAAACATCAATTAAATAAATAATTCAAATAATAATAGAATAAATAGGACAAGAGATAGAAAAAGTATTAATGCCAAACATTTAGACGTAAAAGAAGAGGTACCGTATGTAAATGACGCACATAAAGAAATGACTTAGAGGTTTTCTGAAAATGTCCCATGATGCTGTAACACATGTAGCAAAGTTTGCTAACATGATTATATATAGGTATAATACGTGTGAATATACTGCCATGGCGTTGATGTATATTATATTTGGTTTTAACACCATATGCCGCCTTATTCAGGAGGGGATATAGGTGCAGACAGCTGGTATAACAGAGGGAAAGAAATCAAAGGAATTAACAAACCAATTACTGAAGTTTGTTCACGAGTTTAAACAGCTCTCTTAAAAGGTGAAATGTCAGAAAAACAGACGAGGCAGACAATGGAGGTGTGAACGAGGAGACGACGTTATGGTATGAATGAATAAGATCATCCATCACATTGGCATTATAAAGAGATCCCAGCTGTGCCACCACTCCATGAGATGAGGTCAATCATTTATTGTACTGATGAGAAAGAGAGAAACGAGCGAGAGCGACGAAGACACAGCAACTCAATTAAAACTTTGAGAGAAGGTCAAGTCATTTTCACCCGCCTTGAATGCTAATGGGGAAACAAGCACACGATGCAAATCCCGCTTAACAGAGAAAGATTCCTGAGTGAAAACGGCGAGAACACTTCCACTTGACTGATGTTTAAGTACCAAAGAAAGAGAGTGGGGGTTATTTATTTAACGCTTCACCTTAAACATGCTGACTTCTGAGCTTTCCATACATTTTTTATCTGATTTCTTATCAATGGATGGATAAAGGGACCCGGCTATGCTACAAAATATGTCAATGTTAACTTTAGAGACAGAAAGATCCCTGCTTCTTTTGTATATTGAGTGGACAACGACTTAGTACAGAAAGGGAACAAATAAATGACGTTAAGGCACTTCTACTGATGAACCAACACTTTGCAAGTTGCTGCTTCTTTATCATAAATCTCCAATGTTCATTACATGCTGTTTTCTCTTTCTGTGTTTACATAGAGATACAAGGGTGCAGTTGTAAGGCCTTCCAAATCAGCTTTCTATTGAATCTTTTATTAGACTAACGACACCATTTCATGCAAGCTCAGTTTGTCACTTAGTCAAACTTTGCTGAAAAAGTGGCTTTAATTTTCTCAGACCATGTGATGTAGAAGCATGATTCTGAAACGGTATGTCTTATTACTTTCCTTAATTGTATTCAACACACAATGTTTTCTTTTTCAGACTTAAAGCTATACAACTAGAACAATGACATCCATGTGGATTGTGCATCAATGCAACCAGTTGAAGGAAAGGGTACATTTGTTGACTGATTTCATTCATGGCCTTGCTAAACAGCACTGGGCGATGATGTTTATAAAATACAAAGCAATTCTCAATACTTTTATGCTCCAAGGTCTAAGACATAATGTGGCACATAGCATAGGTAGTATGCTGTCCATGCTAATTCATGTGCAATCTTTTAAATACTTAAGACATTAAAATATTCTGATGTTCTTGTACGATGTCATGTCCGCAATTACATGTTCTGCTTTTGTCTCTGTGGACACAATGCCCCACGGAGAGGAACATTGCCATGAGTGTGTTTGTGTGTGTATAGTGAGAAAGGCTGTGGATGTGCCTGTGTCTGTATCTGTGCCTGTTGGTCTAGTGCAGGGGTCGGCAACCCGCAGCTCCGGGGCCGCATGCGGCTCTTTAAGCCCTCTGCTCTGGCGCCCTTGAGCTTAGACAAAAATAAGAAGGAAATAAAATACAAATATTTGTAGGACTATTTATATTTTGTTGCATGGTTTGAAAATGTTTCGTATCTTGTATTTTGAGGTGATACTGTGACACTTAAAAAAAAAAACGGTTTTAATTGGGTCAACTAAAATATGCGTCACATCCTGCTACGGTCCCGCGCAAGCGCCTTTTCCTGCAGGTGAATAACCTGACCCCCGGCTCGATGAGCGAACTATGGAGGAACACAGAGGGTTTAATTCAGCGTGGACAGAGTTATCTGCTTTCACAGCAAACGATGCTGGCTTACCGGTAGGTTTGATATGTGGAGAGAAGTTGTCAAAGGAGCTGCAGCTTTACGTATTGGAGGAAAAACACGGAAGAGGAAGACAGCTGACGATCTCCAGTCATAATTACATTTGTTAACTATGTCTATGTTTTATTTATTTTAAAGTGGGCCCATTTTAATTTGATTTATTTTCTTCAAATGTGCAGAGGACTCCCCAAGTGCCGTGTTTAATTTATTTTAAAGTATGCCTGTGTATTTTTTACAAGAGTAATTTGTTTATTATTAGAGGTAAACAGTTTGTAATAAATAACAAATGCAAAAAAACTGTAGTTTTCGTCTATGATATAACAATATATACAGCTTTATAAGCTATCAACCTATCAAATATGTTTTGCGGCTCCAGACAAAAGAAATTGGTGGAAAAGGGGGAAAAATGGCTCTTTTGGTCACAAAGGTTGCAGACCCCTGGTCTAGTGATTCTGTAATGAAGCATGACATATTGTGCCTTTCTACAACACGCCTCTCCTTCTGTGCTAGTTACTGACAAACGCACAGAGGCCAGGATTTCTTGTGCAGAAAATAGCCTGCAAACTTTTTTTCCGAGTGTAATGTGTTCTCAGGTGTCCTCACATCTCGCTGTGTTGCTTCAAAGAATATTTATATATTGCTAGCTTGTTTGTTTGAGTCAGCTTCCTCACTCTAACATAAGGGATTTATGGACCCTGGAAACATAATCTGAGCATATGGTTATCGCTCGCAGAGAGGGATATGGAGCGATAGAGAGCAGATCAAACGGCATATTTCATAAGCAAATGAAGGATGAGTATGGATGGTGACATTTTTAGCAGTGTGTCTTTGCATCAACACTAAAAACACTTTGCTTTGAAAGCGTGTGTGTGCGTATGTGTGTGTGTGAATGACGTCCTTACATTTAACCGGTAATCTCTACAATTTAATGAGTCCATTACAGGCTAACACTTCATCTGATGTCACTCTTCATTAATCCAGCCTAACTCATTAGCCAACCTCGTTAAATAATTACCTACTGAGCAAAAAAACACAGAACTTGATTAAGCATCCTATTCAGAATTTAAAAGTTGTTAACTTAGCTGAAGTTAAATAACAGGAGAGGGCCATTGTTGCCAGTGCAAATGAGCCAAAGCCATTTCCCAAACTCCCTACATGGTCCTAGAAAAAGAAGAAAACATGACCTCATCATAT